ATATACATATGACAATCAAACAATGCCAAGTTAATGTCAGCTCTTACCCCTACTCAAAGCTGTGTTAAGTGATTTTCAAGTGGGGGTGGGTTTCGATCCGCCTCCAAGGTGCTTTCCACTGAAAAGAAGAGCTAGAAGAACATTGAGATGTTCCCCTTCACAGTTCTCCTCAGGGCTCTCCCCGCTTTTCTGCCACCTCATACCAGGATGGGGCCCCGAGGCTTTTGGGGCTCTGATGGAACGATCTGGGTTCAGAAGTCACTCTGAGGGACTGGCCACACTGTCAGAACACAAGAGACATATGACTCGGGAGCACGTATATAGGTATGTATTATGAGGCATATAGATTAATGTTAAGTACCTGTATTACCACTAGACCGCCATGTAAATGGCCAACATGTATGTGATTATCATAAACCCCAAACTCCACTTGTTCTTTTATTAAATAGAGAAGAGGGCTGTGCTGTGCTGTGCTGCTATATGCCATATAGGTTATTTACAAAGTCGAGAGCGAAATAGGAAAGACTGAGGGAGGACAGAGGAAGAGATGTGACAATGCTGAATTCAACCATAGCTACATTTACACTAAGCGAGTCACAAGGTCACAGCAATGTTTTTAACACAGCACAAGTGCTGTATGTGCAGTACAAATTAGTTTAACATGACTGCCACTCAGGAGCAAAAGTTCATGTCACTGAAGGTTATCTCAGTGGCTCAGGCTCTTCTTTTAGCATGTTTCACTTGCTAACATCTTGCTGGTGACCTTTATTGGTGAGAATGAATAGAGTCAAATGCCATCAACATCTTAATGAATCTTACTTTTAATTTGTGAAAGATAGCTGTCAAATAAATGTGGTGTAGTAAAAAGTACAATATTTCCTTTTCACTTGTAGTGGAGTAAAAGTTGAATTGTACTTAATTGTTCAATCAACATTGCTCTCAAAAGCAATATGTTATCTGTTTCACTCCACAGCTGAAAAGGCGTTAAATACACTGTTTATAAAAATGAAGGTATCTTACAAACTAATTTATGTACATAGTTTAAATCATTTGTATACAGTTCTAAGTTTGAGGGTGACATTTCTATATTTAGAAAAATATATAGAAAAAAAATATGTGTGTATTGCACTTTTCAGCTATTTATTGAACTATTATTGATTTATCACATACGTAGACTTTAAATTGGGGGTGTATGGATTGTATTGATGTATGGCATATGAAAATGCTCAAAAGCGTGTCTGGTTTTTGATCAAATTCAAGCCACTAATGCTTACATACAGAGTGACTACTGGGTCTGCACCCATCTACCTAAACTCCATAATACAAGCCTACGTCCTTTCTCTGCCACTGTGCTCCACCAAAAAATGCCACCTGGGTCTGCCATCCCTTCACACAAAGCAATCTCAGTCCCGGCTGTTCTCATTTGTGACACCACGATGGTTGAACCAGCTACTACACGCCATCAGAGCAGGGGTGTCCTTCTCTAACTTCAAAGAGCTCTTGAAAACTCATCTCTTCCGAGAAGACTTCCTCTTATAACAACTCTAACCCCTAACCTCTGACATGCACTTCCTGTGCTCTTCTTCTTCTATCCCCTTAAAATTCTCTTGTATTGATGGCACTATTTCGTTAACTCCTACTTCTTTCCCCAGGTATTTACCCCATTGATACCATACGTGCTATTAGCTCTTAGTAGTATTTATTGCTGCTCTTACTAGTACGTATTGTCAGTTGTAGATCTCTAACTGTATTGATGCTTTGTTGATGCTTGTTGTTCCTCAAATGTAAGTTGCTTTGGATAAAAGAGTCTGCCAAATGAGTAAATGTAAATGTCATGTAAAGGACTGATAATACAACATACAAGAAATGCTCTGGTGGAATTGTTTTATGGCAGGTCATAAAGGGTTAACATGGCATGCAATGGAAATTTTCAGTACATCAAATTTGTACATATGTACAGTATTTGATTACAATGTACTTAGTTACCTTCCATAACTGCAAAATAGTCATGTTTACTGTAAAAATACAAATCTGCATCTGTGCAGCTGTAACTTTGGTAAGAAACTAGTCATATCGGCTTATCAGAAGCAGTTTTAATGTGTGAAAGCAAAAATTTAATTTTCAAATCTGAGAAGTCAGTTTCCAAGAAAGTAAGTACTTGAATTAAATCTTTTCATCTTTCTAATCTGACTTAAGTATTTCAAGTATATATAAGGACATTCACACCACAGTAGAGTCACAGCTGCATGACTGATTCAGAAAATTCAATGAGGGATAAATTCAATAAACATACTTGAAGGGAAAAGTTAAGCCATTCCTTCACACTCAGAAACACACCAGAGATTAATTGTTTCTCAGTCTGTGTTCTGACCATTACATGTGCAGTTGCAAAAATGTGGACAGCGAGGAACTTTGAGTATGGCTCATGTCTAACCACCTGGTGATTTGGAACAATGGAGGTGGCCAATTGTCTGTTCTGGGGTTTTCCATGAGCTGATGACTGATGTGTTTGGCTTTCATCGCTTCCACAACCAGCTCTTATCGATCATCCCAACCTGTGACTCAGCCAACATGTGACCCAGTAAGAAATCTGTAAAATTTTTGGAGTTAAATCATCAGAATTATTTACAATAGCCTCATCAGTAGTTGGCCATATAGTCAGATCATTATGGGCCGACTTATGGGCATTTGCGAAATCAGTAAAGGTATTGTACTGTTCAATTTGACATACAGTACCTGCTAAATGTCAACTTTGGGGCAAGAGAACTGTGCCGTGTTGAACTTTAAAAGATAAGGCTGACTCAGTGAGCTCATTCCTCATGAATCCATGCTAGCAGGTGATTATTTAGGTTTCTGTATGAGTAGGTAGTAAAGGAAATAACAACACAGAAGGAGGAGTCCTTCCACAGGGAAGAAAAAAGAAAGTAGAAAGTGAGCAGTGAATCAGCATGGGGGTTTGTCAGTTTAGTTGGACAACGGTCAGCAGATAAGACAAAATGCGGTATATCTGGAAATTTGTCCGCAGTGAAAATGCAACACAAAGTTGATTTGATATATAGTTGATATTCAAACATATGGAAGTGAGATTCTTGGTAAATCTACTATGACTTATTGTGAGTGTTTTTATTGAATAATGATGATATGAAATGTGACTCTAGGGAAGTTGCTGTCATCTGCCTGAAAGTAACATTAGTAGCACTGAAAAGATGAGCGAATTCATTGATGAATCTATTACTCAGTTGAGGAAACATGTATTGGCATAATCTGTGAACAATTTCAAATCAGTTAGAAAAGCAAAATAACAAATACTCACTTGTTTCAGATGTACTGCTTTTTTATATCATATCTGAATACCTTTGGGTTTTTAAACTATTGGTGAGACAAATCTAACTATTTGAAGACATCAGCTTGGGCACTGGGAAGGTGTTGCAGGCATTTTAAAATTTTTGTGGAATTTTACAGCTAAACAAATAATGAATTACTTGAAAAATAATCAATAATCCATTAATACTGAAAATCATAATTTGCTGCAGCTCAATGCTGAATAAATATGTGTTGCTGTGGGCACAAAAATGGTATGCAAGAACCTAAATACAGTGACACGATATTTCTGTCTCACACACACACTTACACATCCAACCACACAAATGCAACACACTGGTATTTGTCCGTTTCATCTAAATGTACATATGTATGTAAAGGTAACACCTTTCTGCCTCACCTATATGCTTACACCAGACGGTCAAATGTGCCAGTTGGAACAAAAGTACAGAGTTGTGACTACTTTTCTATTATAACTTCTATATTGGTAGACCGCAGTAGACAGTTGGTGTACGTTGCCACACACTGATGGCTCAGTCACTGGTAATACAACTTGTTAACCACCATAACCCACAGGTGCTGTAGAGTTTCACTGTTTTAACATCTCTGACAGCGACAGACAGGCTGGATGTTGGGTGATGGATGCTGTATACTTTTGCTAAATATGTATACGGAAATATGGTCTGTTGATGTTTGGTACACACCTAAATTATGAAAAACAACTTCATTGTAGGGCCGTATGTGAAGCAGAATTTAACCAAAAGTCACAGGTGCATTTACATTAGCTATAGATACATGTATGTTTTTTGTTTCCCTAAAGAGAAAAGTCTTTTTTGTAATGTGATTTAGGTAAGATTAATTGAAGGGATATATATACACTGCACACTGCACAGAACTTAATTTCTGAATTATCCTGGTTGATGTGCATTTTAGGAAAGGGAACCTTTTTAGGGTGGATATATTATATGTAGAGATTGGCACATGACACAAAGCTCTTTGTTTGCAATATAATGTAAGAAGTTATGTTCTTGTTTGACAAATGTTTGCATGTAACTGTATTTTTTGGTCCATGTAGGCTGGGCACTTGAATGCGCATGACATAATAGATAACATAACTAACTTATTAACTGCATGTGCATCAAATGCGCCCAGCATGGTAGCAGAGAGCCCGGATCTGCTTGTGAAGTGCTTTTGAGCCAGATATCAAATCCCTCTGAGTAGCATAAAGCCTGTTTTGCAACAGACAGTCAAAACTGTATCACATCATCACTGCAAAATCTGTATTCACTCAAACATAAATACACAAATAAATACAGACATTACATGGGCACATTCAGTCAGCTAGTCAAAGTCCACTCATCATCAAGGGATGAGTTTTCTTTCGCTTTCCTGACTCATTTGCTGAGGCTGGACTCATTGCAGGATAATGATTTATTTCTAAGGCTGTCTCGTGAAATAGAGTATGACGCGACCTGTCTGTCTCCCTCAGTGCTGCTCTTTGTGCATAGTAGGTGGGATATGCTTTTCAGTATTGAGTCAGACAGAAAGAGACCCCCCTGGCGGCAGTGAACTGCAACTATCCAGGTTGTGTGTGTGTGTGTGTGTGTGTGTGTGTGTGTGTGTGTGTGTGAGTGAGTGAGTGAGTGAGTGAGAGAGAGAGAGAGAGAGAGAGAGAGAGAGAGAGAGAGAGGAAAATGGGTGGACGGAAAGTCCCCGTGTGGAAATCCCCTTGACTTGGGCTTTTTCCTTTTTTATAAAAACTATCCTTTGCGGACGTGTGTACTCTTGCTTCGCAAGCTGCGAGCGCTCCAAAATAGACCTGATACTGAAGGAAAGAGAAGGTTGAATGGCGCCGAGGACCGCTGCGGTGAGGCTGAGTGAAGTGGCTGAGAGAGGACTAGCCTGAGCATCCGGGAGGGCTTTGTTATTACCCCGACATATTACACAGGTAAGACACCCGTCCCCCCTCCCTTTGCCTCCCCATGTGAACAACGTTTCTTACCAAGTAGGGTGAGACTTGGTGGGGTACATCACGTGTGGGCCTTGAGTAATGTATGGTCGTGTTTCTGGGGACATGGAGGAAGCTTGAAGCCTGCTCACGACAGTGGCTTTGACAGCCATTGTTTACAAAGACGTCACCCTCAAGCGGATAACAGGGTATTTAAAACAGCCAAATGTAGCATGGCGCCGCTACACCGTATCAGTACTCGAGCTGTGAGACGCGATTGAAGGCTACATTGTTTAAGAGGTAGTTGTCATTGGAATTACGTAAGCCTTTAACGTCAGCAAAGTCTCCTGTTATTGTGTTTCTGTGTAGCCAGCCAGCCTAAACCGCAGCGTCCACCGCTGTCTGTCTGCCAACGGTGCGAGCACACCAAACAGCGATTGATCGTTTGTGCAACATGCTCACTGACATCCAGGTGTCTGTTGTCTACTCCTTCATGTGACTAGCCCTTTAGCATGGCCTAGTCTGTTGTTGCACCTGCTGCTGTTTGGATAGCAGAGGCACAGGGCCCACTGTAAGCCAAGTATTCAGGTGGTTTAAGTGTGAACGTAAACAGTGTCCACTGACTGGCAGCTTCTGAGCGGTTGATATGAGGATGTTGTTGAAAGTTAAAAAGTCAGCAAAACTGCAGGCCTACTTGCTGACCATCACTTTCTACTTCCCGTGAACTGCTGACACTCTCTCCATTTTAGCGAAATATTCCTTTAAAACCTTAAGAGTTGCACACTTAAGCAAGCACTGTACTCTTCTACAATACTTCTACTGTCAGGTTGTGTATTGAAGCTTTTTTACCAGCCATAACAAAGCAGCAAGTATCAAAACTGTCCAGTAGTGAAAAGTTATCATCAAATATTTGGCTGTATTCTTAGTTTTGTTTATTTATCCGTCAACATTTCCTAACATAAATAAGCAAACTTTATAACTTTAAGTTGTATTTTATTCAGGCAAAAACTCTTGTACAGCTGCTTGTGTTCAGACAACATTAAACAGCAACATATTAAGAGGTTTACATACTTTGTTAGATGGGCGAAAAAGCAAAATGTTTATCTTTCTGAAACTCTGATATTGAGAACTGTGTCATTTTGGTTTTGGTACTGACACTCTATGTTTTTAAGACTTAATGCAGGCCTTGGGGCAATCAGTGTGACCTTCCTAGCAGCCTGGGAAGCCCTGGGTGGCCGTCAGTTCAAGTCTGGAAAGCACCAGTTTATTGTTGGAAAGGCTTTGAGCTCAGTGGGACACTGGGGCGCCCTGTTTTGGGAAACTTAAAAACCATCAAGACGAAAAGGAGAATTAAAAGAACAAACAAGAATACAAAGGGTTCTCTGTGTACTTTATTCTATTTGGCCCACCAGAATCTCCAGTGAAAAAACACCAAACAGCTTTCATTCTGCGCTGATCTTATGTGTTGGGTGGTTTCCCAAACAAACTGTAAATTAAGTTGTGTCTTGGGTCTCAATTAATAAGGAAGGGGAATCTCCACTGAAATTTTCCCACAAGTCTACACTATTATTTTCTACTGTGAAATAACAAATCCACTCTCCTTTCTCTCTATCCAGTTTCCACGTTGTTCAGTCAGCGTCGGTTGGTGCCTCCTCCTCCTCCTTTCCTTCTCCTCGTTCCTCCTCTCCCCTCCTTCCATCCACCTGGCCACACATCCGCCATGTCGCAGGGTCAGAACTTCCTCCCAAAATTCCTGTTTGTCTCCAACCTGCTGAAAGCGGTGAAGATCCGCCAGCGAGTGCCCAACGACGTGGTGAAGCCGGCTGCCAGCGGCGGCCTGCTGCACCACCTGCGGGGTATGCACCGTTACACGCTGGAGATGATCGCCATGAACCACTTTCCGCAGGCCTTCAGGGAGGTGGTGCAGGCTGCCATCCTGGACCGAGCCATGCAGGCCTCATTGGAGCAGGAGAAGAAGCTCAACTGGTGTCGGGAGGTGAAGAAGATGGTGCCCTTACGTACAAATGGTGAGAAAGGTTTTGCTAATGTTTAGGCTTTGTTCTGGAGTCTCCACTAAAACATTTTTAAAAATCATTTTTTTACTTAAAGTGCCAGGAAATTGGTAGCATTTTGGTGAGGTTTGGAGATGTTTAATCAGAAGTTTTGATTTGTGGTTTAGCAGTTTTGTGCTTCTGGATTATTTTATTAATACATGTTGTTTGAGCAAGAAGTTCTGGTGGCATTTTATATCATGTTCAACAACAGGAACAACACATTGGTCACAGGTGACGTTTAACTTTTGTTCCTTGATTTCAGGAACTGTAACGATCTTCAGCGTTCAGGGCGGAGGATGTGTTTTGCTTTTGTTTCATTTTCTGTGATAGTGGAGGTTCGCATTTATGAGTCAGGGTTATTTGATATGTAAATTCGGAGATGTCATTACTCACAAGCAAGGTTACTGTAAATGACAACAATGGAGGGACACGGTTCCGCTTTCACATACGCTCATTTAGCAGCCCCCTTGACTTTACTGTGCCGAGTTGAAGGTATGAGTTCAGTCAGCCCATTGCTAAGTCATGTTTTCTGTTACGGGGATGTTGTAACACGGGAACATCCCAGAGTAGGCAAACATTCAGACATGGGCCTGATTACTTTTGATCATAGCTCTGTACTGGGAAATTCTCTGGCGTCACATGTAGGACTGTTATTTACTGTCTATGATGTTTCAGACCCGACTATTTCCACAGTTTTTCATTTAGGGGTATGTCCCCTCTGTTTCTGTGTAGGTGTGTGTGTGTAAGGAGTGTGAATGTCAGTGGATCTTAAAACATCTCAATTATTTTAATAAGGCAGGTGGGGAACTTCAGGTAATTTTACCTGAAGTTCCCCACCTGCCTGACTGACATAGCTATGTCATTGTCTTGTGACTGTCACAGCTCACCGGGCCTTGTTAAATTAAATGTGACCAAATCCAACTTTGTCTCACCAGGCTTTTAAAAAATCTATATTGCAATAACTTAAACACATCTGGCATGTAAATCAGACTCAGGTCTATTTTTAGAGGAGGGGGGAAAAAAATCATTGTTTGAAGGGAAATATCAGCCATAGCACTCAACAGAACAACAGAAGAAGGAAGCGGAAATCAAGCTGTGTTACAAGTTTGTCTTAAATATGTGAGTTTCCAGAGGAAATGGTGTCTTTTTTTCTCCATAGGATGCGATTCGCATGTAACATTGAGAAATTCCTGTATCAGTCTGATTTCAAAACTTACTTTGAACAGTTATTGGACAGATGAGGAACTTGCTGGATGTTTTGTGTGTTGTTCATGCTTGGTTTTCCATAAATAGTGAAACTCGTTGTGTGAGGGCCCCTGGCGATTCTGAAGTTAGTAATGACTAAAGGAGTTACTGTAACCCTCATCAACACATGGTTCCTCTTCAGAAAGACCCCTGAGTTGATGTCAGACTCTTCTGACTTCTGCTGCCAGTAACCTGGATGGGATTTCCTGGCATGTGAAGATGATGTCATAAAGATGAGACAGAATTTAGAGCCAGAGCATCTAACTCTGAAGGACCCAGACGTGACTTTGAACAGAGGACAGACAACACACACACACACACACACTCACAGAGGACTGACTGACTGCTGCTGAGTCACTGGAGCTCAGCAGACACAGACACAGACGGAGACAGAACGTGAGAGATCAGAAGTCCGTCAATGAAGGTCCAGTCAGAGCAGGTCATATTAATCAAGCTTTTCAGAGTCATAACACGATCCGTCTCCACATCGTCTGGGACCAAAAAGTGCCCATTAGTCCAAAATACATTTCTTAGGTCATCATCTGTGTGAATTTACAACAGATTAAAAACCTCTAAACTAATTTTAGTCTTCCCAAAACCCAGCTTCTTTCCCAGGCTGGCAGAAATACTGACCATCATAAAAGCAAAACGGCATCATAAAGCGTTCATTCCCTGACTATTAAGATAACTGCCTTCCCGTTTCGTGCAACTTTTCCATCCAGTGAAAAAAATGCGTTCAGTGCGTCTTCTGTCTTGAGTGTCTAGGATGCATCCGTGGGTTTTTCCCAAACAGCATCCCATGTCTGTCATGTGTCCCCAACAGGCAGGATTTGTTCAGCTACAATACACAGACTCTACATACTGTAGTAGCAGGCACACAAACACAGTGTTCTTGCCTTATAAGTACAGATTTCTGGTTCCTCTTGTGTGGTATGTGGTATCCACATTATTTGATTAAAAACATACTGCGGTGTAATATCTCCAGTTCTTGTCAAAGCAGAAGCAAAAAATAGTCTTGGCCAGGACTTGTTTTGTTGGACTAGTCTCACTAGACAGCTTTGCACACAAAGAGTGGGATAGCAGATGATGTGTGACACAAACCCAGAGCCTCATTGGAAAGCACAACATTGCAAACTTGTGGGAAGTGTCACCTGGATGGCAACTAGATGAGGATTAAGCCTGGTCCTACACTGGTGTGTTTTCAGGAAGTGTCCCAGCTTGCTACAGAGGAAGCATCTATATTTAGACAGATGGGACCAGCAGACCGTCTTTCATCTTTAGTCATCAGGCATCTCAATTCAGGGTCAAACGTCTGTGTGTTTTTTGGGCATTGTGCACTTGTGATTATACATTTGTTTTTGGGCGTGTGTGCCTATTCCTGTGTATGTGTCTTTTTTGAGGATGGTGCTGTTGACGAGGACTTTTCTCACTAGAGAGCTGTGCATTTTATGTTTTTGTTGAGAGTGATGCAAGAGCGCCGTAATGCAACAAAAGCTAGCTAGTCTAAAATAGGAGTGGATATTTTTATTTTTTTTCTCAAAGTATAGTGGGCTCTTCCTTGTGATTAGTGAAAACTAATGTCTCACATTACAGTCATCTCACACCACAGATTATGTTATTTTGGGAAATTTGATCACAGTTTGGCCTGTGGCATTTGACACTTAAACACTGGCTGAACTCATTTTAGATTTTTTTGTATTGTGGGCTAACCTTTTCTTAGCTGTAATTTAAATAACCTTTCCTGTCTTGAAATGTGAATTATTCTTAGATTAGAATTATCTTAGTCTGATTTGTTGATTTGTTTTGATGCAGCAGTACTACACAAAGAATGCTGTGTACGCTCCAGGTGTGTGTGTACTCTTGCCAGGTAAACATTACTGAGCAAACAAGGACAGATCATAAAGTTTGACAGAATATACACATTACAGTGCATTTGTGAGTGTGCATGTTATCTCAGCGCTTATTAATCACAGCCTTCATCGGGTGTTGATTGCAGTAGTAAGATAACATTCAGTCTTGTCCAAGCCACACCCCTGTGGAAAGTCCAGGACCAGCTGAGTAGCATTGATGATTTGGGATCACAGGAGGGGAACATGTACAAAAGCAGAAGTTAACAGGGAAATTCCTGTGTTTAGTGTGGCAACAGGGTTTTTCATTGCTACGCACATTGACAAACATGGGCTCTCCTGTTTCACAATGAGAAAAAGACCCAGCGCTGCCATAGGAGACTAAATAAAAGTCCAAGGTTTTTAGTTGCACAAATGCCTTTTGAGAAACCAACTCTTTATTTCTCTGGACAGTTAGTAGAATATAGAGGAAGCAGTTTTCTTTGACATGAAACGAGACAACCAATTTTTGTAGATTAAGATAGTAAAGGAGTGGCATTTAAGTTTTCAAAAATGGATTTTAGATAAATTAAGGGCAATGTTTCTCAGGTCAGCTGGGTAAAAGTAGATCTTTGTCTATAGTATGTGTGTACTTTAAGACATGTGAGGGTCATATAATAGTGTAGACACCAGATAGTGCGACAACCGGCCCGACAGCCTGGAAATCCCCAGACTTTTGGTACGTGTGTGTGTGTGTGTGTGTGTGTGTGTGTGTGTGTGTGTGTGTGTGTGTGTGTGTGTGTGTGTGTGTGTGTGTGTGTGTGTGTGTGTGTGTGTGTGTGTGTGTGTGTGTGTGTGTGTGTGTGTGTGTGTGTGTGTGTGTGTGTGTGTGTGTGTGTGTGTGTGTGTGTGTGTGTGCACGCGCACATACTGCAAGTGTCTGTTGTGTATACTGTGTGCATGCTGCATTTGCATGTGCGTGTGCCCCTGCACAATTTTAGAAGTGCGCGTCCCTTATAAAACAATCAACTACGAGCATGCTAACATTGAATGTGTTTGCTTGCCTCTTCTGTGTGTGTCTATAGGAGATGGGAACTGTTTGCTCCACGCAGCCTCTCAGTACATGCTGGGTGTTCAAGACACAGATCTAGTGCTTCGAAAAGCCCTCCATGGTGTTTTGAAAGAGACGGACACTGGCGTCTTTAGAGCTCGCTTCCAGGCAGAACTGGTCCAGTCCCAGGAGTTCACCCAGACTGGACTCCGGTACACCACCATGGTATGAAGATTAGACTTGGTCCATGTCAAAAGCTTTTTCCATTACTTTGCATTAAAATATTTGCTTGATGGCAGAAGTATGAGCAAAAAATTATATAAAAACATATATGCTAGCGAGACAGTAAAATTGGTCTGTGGTTATGTCTTTTGTATCCATGTATGCAAACTGCAAATAAGTAAAGGAAATATATTTGTTTATATGCAATAATTCAAGCTGTAGTATAAGCATACATCCTTCTGCTTATTTTTCTTCCTAAAAATGACTTTACACAAATTGAATCCATTACACAAGTGTCCACAAGTTCATATCCTAACGTTTTGTGTGTGTTGTTGTGCTGTCCTAGAATTGGGAGGAGGAGTGGGAAAAGATTGTGAAGATGGCGTCTCCTGTCTCCAGTAGCAACGGCCTCCAGTTTGACTCTCTGGAGGACATTCACATCTTCGTCCTCTCTAACATTCTCCGCAGACCCATCATCGTCATCGCAGGTACCTGCTTTTTATCATCTCAAAGTATGTTTATGGCTCCTTATTAGTCATCAAAGACTCAGTGGTCTTGTTTCAACATGTCTTTCAGTAGAAGAAGGTGGAGGTCTTGTTTTGAAGTCTTTATGTGTGTTTGATTTTGGTTAGCGGATGTAGAGTGGATCTTGTATGGAAGGTAAACATACAGAAACTTGTTTTAAACTATATCGGAGTTTCCAAGGATGTAAAGGGATGAACAGACATGTTCTTTGTTGTTCTTGCCATGTACTTGTGATTTAATCAAATGTTTCTGTATTGACACTCTGCATAGATAATAAGCCTTGCTAACATGTTTCATCAAATTATCCAAATTTGTTACCTCCTTGAAAGTTGAAAGTTTGATTTCATTCAGGAACATGCTAACAATAAATCCTATACAATGTGTACTAAAAACATATTTAAATTGTTGGACAATTATTTTTCTCTTCAATCACTGTTCTTTTTTAACAGACCAGGTGGTCAGGAGTATGAAATCTGGCTCCTCCATCTCTCCTCTGAATGTGGGTGGGATTTATCTGCCGCTACACTGGCCTCCCACGGAGTGCTACAAATACCCAATAGTGCTCGGCTATGACTCCCAGCACTTTGCACCCCTCATCACCATCAAAGACAGTGGTCCAGGTAGGAAACGCTAAGAGACAGTTATGTAGCTGGCATGACATCGGGAGTAAGCCTATTATGAAGTTGCTTATGTTTTGCTTTGTGTGTAACGTCTTGGTCTGAATTTCCCAGAGATCCGAGCAGTACCGCTAATCAACCCAGGACGGGGGGGCTTTGAGGAGCTGAAGGTTCACTTCCTGATGGAGAAAGAACAGCAGCAGAAAGAGAGGCTTCTCAAAGACTACATGCTATTGATAGACATCCCCGTCATAGGCTTGGGCTACGATGCCACACGGATCATCAATGCTGCACGGTACCTACAGATCATAATTTCTGTCCCCTAAATGGACAAAATGGAAAAGAAAAAGTAAAAGATTAATATCTCAGTTGTAGGTCCTGGCCACAATTTTAAATGCAGTTTTGCAAGTTTGCAACTCAGGAAGGAAGAAGTTTATTTTTAGGTTGGTGATCACAAATATTGTAATGCAACATGTTTACACTTTCGGAAACCTATATTAACTTTAAATTTAACGTAAGTATAACACCACAGAAAGTGCAGTAAAGCATTGTATGTCTTTGTTCTAAGGCTGGATGAGGGGAACCTCCCTGAAGACATGAACCTGATGGAGGACTACCTGCAGCTTGTCAACCATGAGTACCAGCGATGGCAGGAGGACAAGGAGCAGGCATGGGCCGCCCAGCCGCAACGCCCACCGCCCTTCTCCGTCTCCCAGCTCTCCCTCATTGAGATCCGTTGTGCCACACCACGATGCACCTTCTATGTCTCTGTTGACACACAGCCTCATTGCCATGAGTGCTTTGAGAAGCGACAAGCCACTACTGGTGGAGGAGCGAGGATAGAAGGGGTGGTGCAGACCAAGGGAGGAGGGGTACAGGGTGGGGTAGGAGTGGTAGGGGGATCAGAGACTGAGGTGAGCTCCAGAGGAGCCCGAAGTAGCAGCCCCCCATCCTCTTCGTCTGGGAGAGGGGTGTCCAGCCCCCGCTCAGCCCCACCTACCGCTCCCAGCCTCAGCCTGTACAGTGAAACTCATGCCATGAAGTGCAAGACACCTGGCTGCCTCTTTACCCTTAGCGTGGAACATGATGGACTTTGTGAGCGCTGCTTCAACTCCAGGCAGAACCATGGACCCCCTGGTGCTGGAACAGCTGCTACAGGACTGCCAGGCCCCAATGGGGGGTCTACAGTTCCCCACCCGGCCCAGGGCTCCGGCTGGACCCAGTGGGGGGGTTGTGAGGCAGAGACAGAGCGCTGCAGCATGTGCAGACAGGAGGCGTTCAGGATATTCAATGGCCTGTGCCCACCCTGCATGCAGAGACAGCAGGCTCCAGAGAGGGGGAGAGCCACAGCAGAACAACCCCAGGACTGAGGCTTCTTCATCAGCTTGGAGCCAGCCCAGGGAGGCTGAGCGGCCATGCCTCACCCTAACCCCAGGGCACACTTCAGCCTGGCAAGCCCCTCTGGCCCGCCCTTGTAAACGATCTGGCTGCCAGTTCTTTGGGACGCCAGAGAAGTTGGGTTTCTGCACTATTTGCTACGTAGACTATCAGACCAACCACCGTAAGTCCTTAAACTAAACTGGAAAACTTCAATCATGTTACAGAGTTCAGACATAAAAAATGTTTTACCAAGGCCGTAAAGTTATTTTAAGCATAAGTCTGTTAATAAGTTTGTTTTGCATTGTAGGAATTATTTTCTGTAATGTTCAATATGATTTGTATTTCTCCTTCAAATGTCAAATGCAAAATCATATAGGACATTGCTTATGTTGGAAAATGTCTGTTCCAGACCTGACCCCTCCCCCTGCCCCGGTCCAGAGCCGGCATGGTTTGGAGGCAGGCTTCCAGAACGCCTCACGGTGTCGTGGGCCTGGGTGTGGTGCGGTCGGCAAGGCAATGCTGGAGGGCTACTGCGACAAGTGCTACGTCAAAGAGCAAAGCACACGGCTCAACCAAGTGGCACATCGCACACCACACTCCCCCTCCTCTGGTCATGGTAGGTGTTTGTCATACATTCTTAACTCCTCCTTCCTTGCTGTCCCCTGTGTCATCTGTTGTTTTTGTCTTATCCGTCCTTTGTTTGTCTTTGGTGTTCTGTGATTCTTGCTGCCGGTTTTCTCAACTATGGTCCCCAGTTGCCTTTCATTTGCCAATTGACCTTTCTCCTCTTTCTCCTTGCTCCCCCTCTCTTTCTCTGTACAAAAAGCGTGACCGAGCAGCCAAACCCAGATCTTCACAGCAATCCCAGACCCAGACTCAGTGCCGGCGAAGTGGCTGCAGTAATGTGTCCCCAGGTTGCACAGACCTCTGCCCAGAGTGTCATACACGTGGCCAGGGTAGAGAGGCGGGCAGACGGGCGCAGGCGCCCAAAGAAAAGTCCAAGCAGCGGTGCCGGACGCAGGGCTGCGACCACTACGCCAACCAAGAGAAACAGGGCTACTGCAATGAGTGCGACCACTTCAAACAGATTTACCGCGGCTGACCACATACATACCCACGCATGCAACGATGATGATGACGACACATCGCTAGCACGCTAGAGCCGCTGCCCTGCTGTGGGCACCTCATGCCAGTCAATGCACCTCTGATACTAACTAACCAACTAACTAACTAACTAGCTAGTGACTAACTAGTAACCTTATGGCCTGAAAATCAACCCCCCCTATGTAGAATGTGAAGAGAGAGTGTGTGTACGTGGGGGGCTGGGGGGGTGAGTGAGTGAGCGAGTGCGTGCGTGTGTGTGTGTGTATGTGTGTGTGTGTGTGTGTGTGTTCGCAGTAGACATGGCCTCCAGAATACCTCTTTGTGCAATTATTATTATCATCTGATGTGCCGTGTGCACTTACACAGTGAGAGGTTTGGCTACATGTCAGAGCAACTGACTTAACTCTTGTGTACAATATGTATTTAGAGGTACGCAGTGAATCGTGCCGGACAAAATGATTGTATGTTGACATAACAAGAAGCATCTGACATTGCTTTCTAGACCACAGCCAAGGATTTATACCCCCCCCCCCCCCCCCCCCCCCCCCCCCAGTCTGTCTGTCTGTCTGTCTGTCTTAACCCATCTGTGTATCTGTCTGCCTGTCTGTCTAGCATTTGCTCTGTAGAGTGAGGAATGCAGTAGTTGGGGAAGCCCAGCAACCAGTGTGTGAAAGTAGTAAGCAGAAGTGAGCTAAACTGGGCCAAAGCAAAGCCAGTGAAGTGCTTGAAATGGAATGAAATGGCATCCAAAATCATTTAGCTTAGTTCTCCAAAAACACATGTATGTTCTCCCAGAATAGACAAACATTTTACCAAGAAAGGCTCTTGCAATCAATACTGTAAAATGATCAAGAACCAACTTTCTTCCATTAGTCAGTCAAAAGCAGTGTTATATTTTGAGGCAAATTATTCTTCATATTGTTAGATCCTCTGTTATATAAAGTTAACATTGTGAATTACCAGATATGGAAAGTAAGAGCAGTACAGGTGTCTGAACAGTGCAAGACAGACAGGGCAGGCCCCTGCTAGTTTTGGTGCTACATGTACAGAAATACAAGCCTCTCCATTGTAGCCAACAAGCTGGCGGTGTCAGCGGACAGAAGGCAGAGAACACAGTGGAGACAGGACTCATTCTCTTTCTATTCCTCCTGTCCTTCCTCTTATTTCCCCTCTTCTCCTCCAAAACAAATCTGTTGCCTTGGACGTTGTTTTCCTGTTTACTGACCACTTAAGCACCTAGAAACGCATTGACACATACCTACACTTGCGCACACAAATGTAATAGCTCCAGTTCTGTCAGAAGGGGATTGCCAACTGTAGAGAGAACTGGGAACATAATGATGGATGAAGTCTGGATGATTATCCACCTTATCACCACATACACACATATGCACGCACATGCAAACACACCTCTGTGAGATTGTACGCGCCCCACCCCAGCCTGAGGTGATGTGTAGGTAAATAAACCCGCAGAGAAATGCATTCCTCTCTGCTCCACCCCACTGGACGTGCCAAGGCGACAATTTCAAAACTCCAGAGAGCAATCCCATTGCCTGCTGGCTAATCTTGTGTATCTGAATGTGTTTTGTGCTGCTGATACAACAGCACAGTATTGGGGCTCATCCTCGATAAGTTTTGCCTTTAAGTGATTGAAATTTTATGGACCAGAGGAGCCTGATCAGTGATCCTGGATCAGTGCTCCCACCTATAAAATGCTTTTGTGAATATGGATCTTGGTCCATATTGTTGGACCTTCCAACCCGATGCCTCATCTCCAACACACACACACACACACGCCCGCGAGCGCAACGCACGCATGTGTGCGTCTGGATTACGCAAAACTGACATTCCTTTTTTTTGTTTGTTTTTATTTTGTTTTTGGATTTTTTTAATGTATTTTAATATATTTGGTTTTGTTTCTGCCAAAAAAAAAATACATGTGCCATCAATCGCCAAACAATTGTTGTTACCTCCTTAAAAATGGCCAGCCTGGACCATTCTAAACTAACTAGAGTGCTGCAGATAGACATCTCCAACTTTGTGTACCACAGACTAGAGCTTGTCAAGCTCTCTGACGTTGAAAATCCCCAAATCTTTTCATGAGTATTTATCTACAGACATAACCTCAAATGTAAAACATTTATCAAACAAACTCAAATGTGTTATCAACTGGAACAGTGATTACCCCTCATACTTGTGCTCAAGAACCCTTTTATTGTAGGAGGATGTCCATCTGTGGCTCTAGTTAGAAAAGCATAGACAAAACAGGCTCTCGGTCTGCCTTTTCATTCAACTGTATCTAAAGCTGTCGGGCCAGCCCACGTGTTGATGGCCTGTACGTAGATCTCTGTGTGCTTTAATCACCTCTAGACAAACCTTAATCAAATAAAGGCCAATTAGTGGTCAGCTCGTCAGGGCCCCATAAAATGATTTTGGGGCGTTGACTGAGTTTGACTGGGAGGAGATCACAGAAGTTGCACATGACTTGTCTAAGCTGCTGAGGCATTTAGGAATGGTACTCCGACTCGCTTAGGGACATTCCAACAGTAGGAAGAGCATCCACTTAAGAGCAGAAGGTGTAACAAAACATGCAAACTGTGTGGAAGTTTCTTTGTGTGACCTTTCGACAATAGGGTATTGTATGAAAAAAAAGCCTGGTTTTATTTGTTAAGTATTTATTCATATCAAGATATCTGTATTGTGTGATTCAATAATTATTTATATGTTGTCCTGAAATGAATTATTTTTATTAAGAAATCTGAACTTTACTGTTGTTCTTGTGTGTTCGTGTGTGTGTGTGTGTGTGTGTGTGTGCGTGCGCGCTCACTATCACAGAATATGGTTGTACAACACAACCATTTGGGCGAACCCTACATGCACATACAGTGTGCTTGTGTGTTCTTTTTGAGATTTAAACATGGCACTCTTATTACTGCATCTCTCTACTACGCTGTGCGTTGCCTGTCTCTGCTGAAAAGCAGTTGCTCACTACTGGCACCAAATCCATCTCCAGTGTAGGAAGTACAGTGGGTGCTGCAAAAGTCATCAGATAACTGATCACTGAGGCCTGGTTTAGATGTGGCAGTGTGCACTATTTTCCTGTGTTTAACTGGGTTAGCTCTTTTTCTTCTCTCCGCCCCCATTGTTTTTTCTTTTCTCATTGTTACACATTTCCATACAAAAATTTTCAAATGAAGTTTTTCTTAGGTGCTTTTTTAAAAATCACTATTCAGTTCTTTCCAGGCTTATGTTAGGGCGTCAATAAAAAAAAAAAGGGAACCCCCGCCGTCACATCAAAAAGCACAGTTCACCCGGGAGGAGTGGATGAGGCAGTGGGAGGGGGGAGTTTGGAGTGAGGGGAGAGGGGAGAGTGGTAGTGACAGGTGGGGAATTGGCTATAATTACATATGGCAGGCCAGAGGTGACATTTAACAAGTATGGGGTGGCAGTGTTGTGCGTGGGCTCTCATCATCCTACAGCCTCTACCACAGTCAGATGGGTAGGCTGATGTGGTTTCCTGGAAATACCCCTGTATGCAAACACTCCTTTTGTATAACTGTTCCTTTGCAGATGAGCATTGTTTCACTTGTGTGAGTGCCTCACTAATGTGGTGCAGTTAACCTTCCCATGCAGTCTATAAAAATAATTATGTGAAGCAAACATGTTACTTGTAACATGTAACTGAAATGTAATGGATGCTCACCTTAAACTGCCTATTTTCATTACCAAAGATCCGTAGTTAAATGATGCTGGCAGAGTTATCTAGTACAACATGCAGTCACAAGAAATCTGTGTCTATGAAATGATGCATTCCTATAGTCCTGGGAGATATAGTTGAAATGAGTATGAACATATTAATAATACTATTTTTCTGATATCAATAAATAGCAGAACATACAATATATAAAAGTCAAATTGATGTTCGATCAATGGATTAGATATGACAAAAATTCACAAGGAAAAATTCCATTTCCTTGCAATCAGTCTTTTGGACTGAAGAATCAACATTTGTCATATAAAAACAAAATTTATTGTTCTTGTGACATAAATTTTTCCTCTAAAGTTATTCTTTATACTGCAAGGGTTGCTGGAGTTTTGACCTCCACACTTGTTGGAAGTATGTGAAGTCATGCCAGAAATCCCACTCTGCATATCAGTAATTGGGACAACAGAACTTTTGTAAAATGATCACATGATGCGATTATGCCCAATATCAGTAAATGATAATACTGAATTGATGCCCAGCCTTATTACTTAACAATTTGTATTAGCATTTGACATTAACTAACCATTAAACCAGGTGGATATTCATATTCTTCACATGGCTATAAATGCTAAAGTAGGGACATATTCTTCACATGGCTATAAATGCTAAAGTAGGGACACCAAAATGTAAAAAAAGAGCCTCAACATTAGATAATAACATTGGACCTGGCTTTGTTGATATTGGGGTGCAAATTCCTAAAACTACTATAATCAAAAATGTTACGTTAACAGTTGATCACATCACTATGTGTAACGTGAAAGGTGTCCGTCATAGTGCAAATTGAACACAGAATTATCACTTAACTCTGTTATTTCCCCTTCAGCTGTACATAGTGTTTTACTGTGTCTGAGTGCATTGTTTTGGTTTTACGGCCTTTATTTTACACTCTCAACGCTCTCATCAGCGTTGTTTCCAGATGTTTTCAGCAGAAAAGCTCTAGAGACCACTGCAGTGTATACTACATTCACAGTACAAAGAGACTTGAATATAGTGGCAGCATTTAGCAGCCAAAGAGCCAGCTTTTTCCCTCAGGAGTTATTCAGAGCAGAGTTAGAACAGCTAATAAGGGAGTTCTGCTGGGTGTTTAAATAAGCAACTGTTGGCTAACAAGTTCGCTATTATCAGCTTTATAAGCTGATAATATTTGTGTTTACAGCTTGTTTCCACCGCCCCCAAGTGGCAGTTAATGCAGGCTACAGTTAATAAAATGACCAAAACAGCCTATTAACATGCAGTGAATGTGGAGCTTATGGGGCACCCGGGGGTCTGTAACAGTTCAGGATTCAATGTTTTCACAAAGCTTTTCAGGGCAAAAAGACCACAATACACTCACATTTACACAACCATTGAATCAGGTGATTTTTAATCCATGTGGCCCAAATTCTGTGTTTGAGATGTCACGATTAACTGTGAAAGACAATGTCAACTCTGGATTACAAAACAGCATCCCTTTATGAATGAACCCACCAAAGTCTGACTCACTGCCTCCTCTGCTGAAAATTTAAATGTCGCAAAATTCAAAAGTACAGTTGATGCTCATTCGACAGGAAGTAGGTGTTATTGTGCAATAGGAAGAAGGTGTATCCATAGTTACCTTTATCTGACTCTTTTGTAAGCAACAGCAATTTTTTTTTATCTATGATACACCCTTCCAATGAACGGTATCTTACACTCTCACTAAAAATTTGAAACTTCCCCGAGTCTGTCTCATTTTTGCCTGGAACTTGATGCAACTTCCACGTTAAGGGTTACAGGGGGTCTGGTGATGAAATACATGCACACTCAGTGTTTGGTGAAGAGTCTCACTCTCACATCTTAGGTTATTAACATAATCAAACTATTTTAAGGTACTTGTACACAACTTAACCTCAGTGTGTTTTGATGTGGAAACGACCACATTCGCACCTCTTATTTAGTATTTATAAAAAAGTAATTTATAACACACTGTTATGTAGTTGTAACATAAGGGCATTTTAAACATTGCTAAATGTATTTGTCTAATTATTATAACTTCTATCCATAATTGGTGTTTGAACAGTAAATTACTGATATAGCTCTAATTATATTTAATGATATAATCACATGAAAAACATCCCTGCAGTGTTGTTGGATTTGTTTAAAACTGGTTTTAAATGGTTTATAAAGCCTTAACTCATAAGAACATGCTAAGCTTGAAGGTTAATTTGTGACCTAGGAAAATAGTGACTCAAGGTTCACTTACTAGATTTCTTCCAGGGCTTCAGCCACATGTCATAGCCTTCATCAGCAGATGGGAGTTTGATCAGTTCTCATAGAGTGTTAAATAAAATAAATAAATGAATAGTTTAAAAATAAATACAGTAAAAACAAATACTTCAAATTTCATATACAGCATAATTCAACTGTGTTACATTATATTACGAATCATTCATTATCTGCTTATATTATCATAGTTGACAAATACATTAATAAACTACAAAATTTGCACTTCCTGCGGAAGTTGCGTGTGAATGCTGAAGTTGGAACGAACTTGCAAAAAACTGCGGAAAAATGCTAAAGAGTTTCATTTAAATGCTCAAAGAAGCTGAAATGCTCAAACAATTGCAAAACACCGCAGAAAATGCAAAAAAGCTAAATTCAAGTGCACAAAGAAGCTGAAATGCACAAAAATACGGCAAAAGATTGCAGAAAATGCAGAAGCAATTAAATCAAATGCAAAATGAAGTATTAGGGTTGTAATTCACTGAAAAAGAGCTTGGAAGTGTAACAGAGCTAAAATACGTTGCTAAAATGATGAAATGTGTTATACTGTCATAAATGGAAATTGAAATGATTCAGTCAAAAGAAAAAAGAGAGAGACAGAAAGTTAAGGCGGAGAAAGACAGAAAGACAGACAGAAAGTTAAGGGGGAGAAAGGCAGACAGACAGACAGAAAGTTAAGGGGGGAAAAGGCAGACAGACAAGCAAATAGATAGACAGTCAGATAGATGGATAGACAGAAATGAAGTTGAGTGGGAGACAGACAGAGACAGGTAGAGATACAGGCAGTCAGACATTGACAGAAAGAGAGGCAAAGCGACCGACAGACAGACAAGTTGAGACAGAGAGACAGACATCAATTAAGTTGATGGGGAAAAGAGCAGCCATCCATACAGCTTCCAGCCACTTTAATATAGGCCTTTAATTGAACCAATCACAGACAGACAGACAGAAAGTTAAGGGGGAGAAAGGCAGGCAGACAGACAGACAGACAGTTAAGGGGTAGACAGACAGACAGATGGATGGACAGAAGACAGATCTGCTCCCGATCCTTCACACTTCAGGACCTTGGTGGTCTGGTGACTGGAGGTACAGCTGTCGTTGTACAGGGAGGAGAGCAGAGGGGAAAGAACACAGCCTTGAGGGGAACCAGTGCTGACAGTCCAGGAGTCAGACACATGTTTTCCCAGCTTCACTTGCCACTTGCCGTTGGACAGTAAATCTGCAATATGTAAAAGTTGAATACTGCCTATTATGTATGAAAACTGTTGAGCTTTTTAAGGTTCAATAAGGTCAAGAAGGCTCAAGAAGGCTCAAGAAGCTGGGTGTCACATCCTGCAATGAAAGGTCCTGTGTTTGGGCTTTTATTTTGAAACATTAGGTCAGATAGGACATAACATTACATTTATTCATTTAGCTGACGCTTTTATCCAAAGCGACTTACAAAGCGACTTACAATTGCTATACATGTCAGAGGTCACACGTCTCTGGAGCAACGAGGGGTTAAGTGTCTTGCTCAGGGACACAATGGTGGATGTCTCACAGTGGGAATTGAACCCAGGTCTCTCACACCAAAGGCAAGCATCTTATCTATGCTCCATCACCACCCCCGTAACACAAACAATAGGACATCTTGTCACCATCGAGGGATTTTATCTTGAAAAATCAGCCTCATCCTGAATTCCCTGTTAAGATGCTTTAACTGTCTGTGGTTTTAATTTGGAAGAATTTGGGTCCGGAGAACTATTGAGACTAACACACACAGAGGGACACAAACAGACACACACACACTGAGACAGAAAGATAGGTGGACTATAAGACTGTGACACCGTGAGTCACAGAGACCCAACTGTTTCCAATGAAGAGAACAGTGTGTGTGTTAGTTGACAGAAACACACACACACACACAGATGCGCACACACACACAAATTACAAAATAAAAGCCCTACTGGGTTAATCTTAGTCAGGTTGAAAAAGGCTTCTCAATAGTTCTCCGGACCCAAATTCTTCCAAATTAAAACCACAGACAGTTAAAGCATCTTAACAGGGAATTCAGGATGAGGCTGATTTTTCAAGATAAAATCCCTCGATGGTGACAAGATGTCCTATTGTTTGTGTTATATCCTATCTGACCTAATGTTTCAAAATAAAAGCCCAAACACAGGACCTTTCATTGCAGGATGTGACACCCAGCTTCTTGAGCCTTCTTGACCTTATTGAACCTTAAAAAGCTCAACAGTTTTCATACATAATAGGCAGTATTCAACTTTTACATATTGCAGATTTACTGTCCAACGGCAAGTGAAGCTGGGAAAACATGTGTCTGACTCCTGGACTGTCAGCACTGGTTCCCCTCAAGGCTGTGTTCTTTCCCCTCTGCTCTCCTCCCTGTACAACGACAGCTGTACCTCCAGTCACCAGACCACCAAGGTCCTGAAGTGTGAAGGATCAGGAGCAGATCTGTCTTCTGTCCATCCATCTGTCTGTCTGTCTACCCCTTAACTGTCTGTCTGTCTGCCTGCCTGCCTGCCTGCCTTTCTCCCCCTTAACTTTCTGTCTGTCTGTGATTGGTTCAATTAAAGGCCTATATTAAAGTGGCTGGAAGCTGTATGGATGGCTGCTCTTTTCCCCATCAACTTAATTGATGTCTGTCTCTCTGTCTCAACTTGTCTGTCTGTCGGTCGCTTTGCCTCTCTTTCTGTCAATGTCTGACTGCCTGTATCTCTACCTGTCTCTGTCTGTCTCCCACTCAACTTCATTTCTGTCTATCCATCTATCTGACTGTATCTATTTGCTTGTCTGCCTCTCTCCCCCTTTCTCTCTCTCTATCTTTTTTCTTTTGACTGACTCATTTCAATTTCCATTTATGACAGTATAACACATTTCATCATTTTAGCAACTTATTTTAGCTGTTACACTTCCAAGCTCTTTTTCAGTGAATTGCAACCCTAATACTTCATTTTGCATTTGATTTAATTGCTTCTGCATTTTCCGCAGTTTTTTGCAAGTTCGTTCCAGCTTCAGCATTCACACGCACCTTCCGCAGAAAGTGCAAATTTTCTAGTTATAAATGTCCTTATAAACTGCTTATAAATACTAAAGACAGGACAAAAAAATTATAAAAATAAAATTTCAACGCAAGTGAAGAAGGATCTAGGAGGACAACTGAGCAGCTTCAGGTGTCGCCTAAGTAGGATCTGAGGCACACCTCCTCCCCTCTACCATAGGACAAGCCACACAAATACAGAAAAGGACAACAGCATTCACACTCAGGAGAAACAAACAAACACACTTAGAAGAGAGAGCCATGATAACATGTAAACTAGGCATGAAGAAAGGCTGAATCTCTTGGCGGACGAAGATCCAGATCAGTAACGGGATGAGGTAACGACAGTCA